CCCAGCGAGTTCTTTCCTCCAACTCGAATCCGGGCGCTAAGAGGCGTGAACTCCATGAAATCAGTGAGCTGGTTCGAAATATGACTCGATGCACCAGAGTCCAGGTACCAGTTATCATGGGCTTTGTCTGCGACCGGCTTTTTCATTTTCATCACTTGAAGAATAACATACGCGCTGTCATCACTTTCATTAGCGTAGCTACTCGTTTCAGCAGCCTTAGCACTCTTTCCTCCACTCATTTTCACGCGCTTCTGAGCTTGGGTGCTGCTGCGATCCTCGACTGGAGGTCGCTTGCCAAGAAACGGGCAATCAAACACATGATGCCCTGCTTCATGGCAGTGATAACAAGCACCACCTGGCTTTTGTCCACTGCCGGCTTGGCCACGTCCAGTTCCACGTCCACCACCTTGGCTCCCGCGACCGCCAGAACCACGTCCACTACCGGAACCGCGCCCGTGTCCTCCAGATCGACCACCACGTCCACGGCCGCGACCACGTCCACGGCCGCGACCACGTCCTCGACCTCTTCCTCCACCAGCAAAGAACGCCTTTTCTTTATCATCATTGTCCTTGGCGCCCTCTGCTTTCCGACCTTGGCGATGGTCGTAAGCCATCTCCAATGCGAGTTCAAGTTGTTCGTAATTAGGAGGATCATCAGCATTTTGGGGCTTGTGGCTGGCGAGAAACGTCTGTACAACATGATCATATTCGCGCGGCAGAGATCCAATCAATAGTGCTGGCTTTACATACTCGTCCGCAGGACGCCCGACTCCAGCAATGGTCTCCATCAGCCGACGCATTTCGCTCAGGTGATCTGGCACATTGCCGTTGGGAGCGAGCCGTAGCCGACTGAGCTTGGCCCTCTCCTCAGCGTACTTCAGGTACGTCTTGCCCATAAATCTCTTTTTCAGGCGCTCCATGACACGAAACGGGGTGGGTTCATACTTCACAGTCTTCATTATGTGATTCGTCATTGCGTCGTAGATGATCTCGTTGGCGTGGGCCATCTCGCTCGTCCACGTCGCGTGCGCCTCTGCCTCCTTGCTCTCGTCCGGCTCGAGCAAGTCCTCCATGGAGTACTTCCACAGCTTCTTCCTCTCCAGCATGAGCTTGACTCGCTCGTGCCAGACCTCGTAGTCCTTGCCGTCAAACGGCGGGATCGTCCTTATCTCCTCGTGTGACTCCTTGGGCGTCTTCTTCTGCTCTACCATGACGTCCTAGTTGCTGTGCTCCCCTCGCGTGAGCCTTGGGCTCATAACCTGAAGTGGAGTGTCCTCTTGGTGCTGCTCACGCAGAGATGGAAGCAACGACAACACTCAGCTGGGCGGCAAAAGCCACCTTGTTGGTCGTGTGTATATTCTCAACTGAGGTTTAGATTCTTCTCTTTCACCTTTTGTCTTACTCTAACTGCAAGTAGTATAGTGGGGATCAGTATAATCCGCAACAGTATGTACCGCATCGCCGAAGTTATTGTTCGCACATTTATTAATACCATAAAGTGCACTAAACACTTGGTGGCAATTTGGCCGGACTTCCGAGACAACACTAGGAGGATTCTGGAAGCAACTCGGGCATTATTTTCAGGAAGAAATACTCTACTTTTGATACGTAGCCATGTATTTACCAAACTACGCACTGTACGGGACTGACTAGACTTGATTGAAATTTGTGACTGGGTTTGGCGGTGCTTTCCAATACAAACATCAAGTATAAAGGATTTGTATTGACCCGGAAAAAAAATCGATCGAGTTTTCTGGTACATGTTGCTGAACTGAGCAAGCCCAGCATCGCTACCATGTTGAATAGACGCCAATGAAGACACTAGTCAGCTGACAGCCTCAACTTACGAGTATAGACCTCTCCACACTGTCAAACACCACTCTTCTATACAAATTCAAGATAGTGCGTGTCTCCATTGAATCTTATCAACCGCGTCAGCTTAACCTTATTTGAGCAGCTTACTACAGTGAAGTGCGTCGATAAGGAACGGGCGACATTTTATATTCTACGACAAGACATGAATCCTCGCTTGTACCCATTGTGTGCCAATTGTACTGAATTAGTTATATGATTCTACCAATCATTCGGTCCCGTTTAACATTCCGCCAATCACAGTTCCGAAACCGAGCCTCAAGAGCGGCTGGATGGAGCGGCTCCCAAGTCGGGGGAAATGGAACCTAAAGGTCGCGAGAGGGAATCATGAGCATGAGGATCGCTGTGAGCGCGGGAATCGCGCCAGGTACATGTCTGCATGCCTCATTAACCAACTTTCGCTCTGCTGCTCACAACTCCCATGGTGACCGCCACTTCCAGACCGTTCCAGAGGCGGCTACGTCTGACCAAGCTTCAGTCGCTGCTAATCTGTCATCGCCGTCATGATCTACCGGGTGCTACCTATGCTGAGTTGGCTGCGTGGGCTCAAGCCGAGACTCTGGTCGCGAAGTCCGACATGAACTACATAGTGCAGTAAATCAGTGCATTTGCTGTCTGCATGTGACGAGTCAAACCTTTAATTATCAATATACCTTTTTCTTTCAATGTATATCAGGCGTTCCTTATCGACGCACTTTACTGTACCGGTAGGCGTTATTCGAGCTGTTCAATGGAGTTAGTTCATTTATTACGCTTGAAACAGCTCTCCACCAATCTTACCGATAGCTTACCGGGTGCGGCTATAATTTTGACCCGACCCAAAGTCGGTTTTTCGTCCATTGCAAAAAAACGGTTACAGCTTTTTCGATTCTGATTGTTGCATCTATTTTCTATCGATTTTAGACGAATCATAAGCAGCGGTTTGGCGCCGAAAGCACAATCATTGGTTTAAAAAAATAATTTTTGGGGTGCGGTTATAATTTCGGCGCGCACTGTATATCACGTAGATGCGGTACCGTGTTTCTGGTACAAAACTGAGGGAAGAAAAATCCAACCGGCCATTTCCACATTTCCCCTCCAAGTAGCGCCACCGCCCACCGGGACTAGCAGGCATGCCCGCGCCCTTGCCAACGTCGTCATGATACTACTGCCGCATTGCTGACTGTGTACTGCTGTGCTGCTGCAGATGGACATGTCCAGCCAGTTGGATCCCCAGGCTTTGGCCGCGTTCGTGGACGACAGTGTCTTTGCTCAGATGAGCGGGAAGCTTGGAGCAGACGCATCGCCGAAGAAAAATCTTTTCGTTGCGTGGATGCTGGAAGACTATCCCAACAAAGCCACACTCCAACTCGAGGCCTCCCAGCAAGATATACATGGATTGATATGGGTGAAGATCAGAGACGCATACGGGCATACACGCGTGTCTCGACCTCTTGCACAAACTATTGCGGCCAAGACGGTGAAAGACCTCCTGGCAAAGTTTGTCCCTGAAGCCCGCTCC